CTATCCTTCCCTTTTCCTTCCCTTTTCCTTCCCTGTTCCCTCCCTTTTTCTTTCCTTTTCCTTTCCCTCCCTTTTTCTTCTCATTTCCCTCCCTTGTCCGCCCTTTTCCCTCCCCTTCCCTCCCTTGCCCTCCCCCGCCCTTGCATTTGTTCGATAATTTGTTCTATCATTTTTTTATTGTTTTCTATTTATGTTCCCTCTTTTGTCCTTCCCTTTTCCTTCCCTTCCCCTCCTTGTTCCACCTCTTTTCCCTCCCTTGTTCCCTCCCTTTGTCCCTCCCTGTTTCCCTTTCTTTTCCTTCCCTTTTCCTTCCCTGTTTCTTTCCTTCTTGCAACCCTTTTCCTTCCCTGCCCTTCCCTTTTGCAGCCCTCCCTTTTTGCTTTTTTCCCGGGCCGAATGAAGGGCAGGGGCGGCCCGCGGAATCAATTAACTCCGGAGTTAAGTGATTTTGCGGCCGGGTGGAAGCAGCACTCGTAGAGTGACTTAACTGCGGAGGTAAGTCGTCGCGAAGGTGGTAGCAATACAAAATGAGAAAATAACTTAACTCCGGAGTAAGGTGATACATAGTTTCCTGGTTTCAGTGTTTTTTTCTTCAGAGCGAACATATCGAGGTCATCCAGCGCGCGCTCGCTGTTGCCGAAGCTGCGCCACCTGTGCGGAACGTTGAGGACATCTCAGGTTGGACCAGAGATCCAGACAAGACCGCCCTCATCATATCGTGCGAGGGGCCCTGCTCCACGGGCGCCATCTCCAACTCTATTTCCAGCTGGGTCAGCGACGCCGAACTCGACCCCAACCACTGGTCAATCGAAGGCCCCAGCCCTGGCCGTCGGCACGTTCTCAGGACGGCTGGGGCAGCTGGCCTCGCCGCCAAGCGAGCCGCCAAGGCAATCCGACATGTCGAGCAGGATGGGCAGCGAGGGAAGTTCCAAGCCCAGTCGGTCGACAAACACCACGTGGACATAGTCATCGGCCTCGGCAAATCACCGCAAACGATTCGCAGAGAAGTCCAGATTAGAAAGTTGCTCGAATTGGCGAAGGCGCCCGGTGCACAAGGGAAGTGGAGAACCATCAGATATGAAGGGGCTCCTCAGCAATGGCAGCGCACCCGCGGTCAAGGTAGTGGCGGCCGACGCCGCGGAGGAACCGTCGTCTTTGGTTTGGCACCATCGTGCCGTTATTATGTCGGGCTTGGATAAGGGCGAGATCAAACGAGCCTTCGGGGGGGCCTCTGGCGCCAAGGATACCGCGCGCTGGAGCGTTTAGCAGTCGCTTTGCCCAGTGGGGCCCCCCCCGCGGCGACCAGTTTCAGTCTGCATGCGGCGCGTGGAATGCCGGGGCCCTCCGCCGCCGCAGTTTGGACATCCGCGAATGGAAGGTCAAGTATCTAGACAGTCGCCCTTGTCGCAGCGTGGCCATGTGTCTTCAGGAAGTGCATGGTGCCGAGATCGAGTCGAACCGAGCTCCCCATTGCCTGTGCCGTCTTTGCGCCGCGTTCTCGACCTTCTGCGAGCAGCGGGGCATGGGCGGCGCTGTCATCATTGCCCATGGCGCCGTCGCCAAGTCGGACACAGTCAAGCGCCGCCGCGAAGTCTTGGTTCAGGGGCGCGCGCGACGGCTCCGTATCTCAGGGGTTCTTCCAGGGGCGACGCCCTCCAATGCCATGCGCGACATCCACAACTTTGCTTTCGAAAAATCGCGCGCGGACGTCGCCTCTGACCGACTTCGCGCCGACTTGCGAATTGCAGGGGGCGCGCCCAAGACAGTCGCTGCGCTCGTGATGGGAGATTGCAGTACCTTCGCTGCGGATCCGCTTCTCCTCTGGCAACCTGAGATCAAACAAAGGCCTCGTCTCTCTCACCATGCTCCGAGGCCTTTGGGGGCGCGTTCGACCCGGTGCTGGAGCTAGACAACGAGCCCCCCGCGCGCTACGCGCAGCGGGGGGATGCGCGCCCGAATCTCGCGCGAATCGATCGTGCCTTCCCAGCTGCGTCGAGCCGGGCTGTTCTGCAATGGCACATCGCGGCAACGGCCGAGGACTCCCCTGATAAGTTCCACTCGCAGGGTCTCAGCGACCACGGCCCTGGTAGTCAACCCATGCCTCGGCATATTTTCAGGGTCCTGAATTGCAGTGCAATATGACCTGCTCGCGAGTCATGCCCAACGGGCACGGGCGCCACCCTGCGCCATAATAACGATGCACAAGAGACTCATGCAGGAGGCCGATCGCCGCGTTCGGGGCCGATTCTTTCACCGGGCTTACCATGACAATAACACCTAGCCAATCGCATACAGGTCTATGGGCAGAGCTGCCTGCTCGCGTGCGCTCGACGACCTCGCCTCGGTCCGCTACGAGTTGGCCATGGGCCCCCCGCCCCCCTCTGACGCCAATGACCACCTGATGGCCTTCCCGCCCAAGGGGTCCGAGGGGGCCGACCTGCTGGAAGGCGCCGCGAGGGTTGCAGCGTCGACCCGTCCACTGGCACTCAAGAATACCGACGCCAAGATCATTGCCTCTGGCGTCGATCGCAAGATAAGGGTCCTCTTGCAGCACTCGCCGAAGTGCCAGCGAGGGTTTCAGCAAGGCAGATGCTTCCTGGACAACGTGCCCCTCCTGGACATGATGGCGCGGCTCGTTGGCTCCCGGGGGAAGGCCGACCAGCGCTGCCCGATCGTGGTGCTGCTCGATTTCTGTAACGCACCTCCCCGTTGTCGGTGGCTTTCCTCGCTGCGGTCTTCTAGAGGTCGGGCTTCGAGGGCGGCCTCCCCCCCCTCGTCGCGAGCGCGCGCTGGACGCCGCGGGCCTTCGTCGCGATCGAGGGGGCCGCCCTGCACATCGTGCTTGCCCTCTTGGGCATCGCGCAGGGCTGCCTTCTGTCGGGGCCCCTCTGGGCCGTCGCCATGAATCTATTCGTGGCCCGCGTGGAGCAGATCGCCGAGCGCTTCGACAGCTCGGTGCTCGGCATCTGCGCCGACGACGTGGGCGCGGCGTTGCAGGGCAGACGCCTCTTGGTCCGCCTCTGGCGCGTATTCCGCGCTGCCGAGGCGGTCGCGGGCCTTTACCTCGTGTGTGCGAAGTGTGAGGTCACCCCGCTTGCGTCGGCCTTCCAAATGGCACTGGCCGACGAGATGGCAGCCTGGCTGTTGGCTTGCGTTCCTTCCTGGAGGTCTATGAGCAGTGTGCCCTTTGCCGAATAACTGGGCGCGATGATAGGCCCAGCCGCGATCCTCTCCATATGTGGCAGTATCCAGGAGCGAAATAGATCCACCGAGTTCGAGAGTGAGCGCATGCGGGAGCCCCTGTTCACATCTCCACCTCCATCTACAATGCGAATTGTGACAGTCCTTTCCTATGTGATGCAGTTGGCACCTGTTCCACCTTGTCTCCTCCGTCGTGAACGCTGGGCGATCCACAAGATATGGAACTTGCCACCACAATCGTGGGGCTTGCGCGACCTCCGCGAGTTCGGCTGCTGGTCTCCTTTCAAGCCGATCAGCCTTGCCTGTTTCAGCTTGGCGTCGAGGATGCGGACGGCTCTCACTACGACGGCCACGTGCTGGCCTCCGCTGCTCAAGCGACTTCGTATGGCGGTGGAAAAGCGCGGGGCCCTCCTCGAGATTGGGCGCCCCCTGTGCTCGCCGGCGCACTTGTGCACGAAACTTGTCGCGATGACAATGAATGAGGCCCTGATCTCACGGCCTGGAGCAAACCGCTTCTCTGCCAGCGCTGCCAAGATTGCGCTGGCCGCCCTCGCCGAGCTGCGCCGCAACGACAGCGATGTCGCGGGGTCGAAGAGGGAGCGGGCGCAAATGATCCTCCACCCCTCCATTCGCTCTTCCCCTTTCCCCACCCTCCCTCCACCTCCTCCTTGCTAGTCGCTTTCGAATGTGGGGGCTTCCTCATGTTGGCCTGGGGGATTGGAGCGCCCTCCGGGGCCTTCTAGCCTTTGGGGCCCCTCCGAGCTGGCAGGCCGCAGATCTCAAAACGATAGGCGGCGGATGGGTTGCGAGCTCCAGGTTGCGACGTTGGCCATCCTCCGCCGCGCGCCATGGATTCATTGGCACATTATTTGGTCTGCCTCGTTTTGTGGGCCACCTGTATACCACGCCGTGCCGATCCCAAGAAGCGTTGCCTCGCGAATTGGCCTTGGCGGTGCGCCGACGCCCGAGGGAGTTGAGAGGATTGCGCTGGCCTTCCACTTGTGCAATGTTGTGCGCTGTGCACCCATTCCTCCCGACTGTGCGGATCGGGATGCCCGTCTATATGCAGCTGAGCGTGCTGCTCACGCCTTGGTATATTCCTCCAGAGCCCCCTTTCTAATCGTAACGTGCATCAAGGCCTCCTCGAGGGGCGCGGATTCCAGATTACCCGAAGTACGAGCGACACATATATATATATATATATATATGTATACATATAAATGTACACATATAAAGAGAGTGGGACAGGGAGATAGAGAGAGAGCGAGATACCTATAAACATACATAGAGAGTCATATATATACTGATATATAATACATAATGGTTTACACACATATACAGAGAGAGAGAGAGAGAGAGAAAGAGGGAGAGAGACAGAGATAAATATAGAGACGTTGATATAATCATATATATACACTGTTTATAGAGATATACATATATAAAAATATTGTGGGGGGGAGAGAGGAAACGAGAGATAGAGAGAGAGAGAGATAGACAGAAAACAAATAACAACACAACACATGTACAGCGCGCGCGTGACACACTGGTGTCGCCGAGCCGTTGGCCACGTTAACTCTGATGGGTCAGGTTAACTTTGGCGCAGTGTCGGCAGGGCCTGGGTCAGGTTAGGGCAGGGATTGGCAACGATGGGGGAGCGACAGAGACAATCCGAATCAGAAAACAGAAACAGAGAGACTGAGAAAGAGAGAGAGAGAGAGAGAGAGAGAGAGAGAAAAAAAAAAAGGAGAGAGAGAGAGAGAGAGAGAGACAGAGAAATGGAGAGAGCGCCGCTGCTGGAGGCCGCGGCGATCCGCCGTTCCCCTGCGGACGTGGAGGCGGAGGCGCGGCTGCGCCGCAGGCGCAGGCGCAGTGGAGGGCGAAGGGTTGGGGGTGGGGGCGGGGGGGGCGGCGGGCGGGGAGGAGGGCCCCGCTTGGGGGGAAGGGGGGAGGAGGGCGGAGGGAAGAGGAGGGGGGGGGCTGAGAGTCTCCTGCTCCCCTTGCTGCTGCTCCCTCGCGAAAGAAGGAAGGCAGGGCGAGCCAGAGACCCGCTCGCGCGACCTTTCTCCTTTCCCCACGTCGGGCCGCAGCCTTAACTCCCCCACCTCGGTTCAAGCCTTAACTCCTCCCCGGTTCAAGCCTTAACTCCTCCCCGGTTCAAGCCTTAACTCCTCCGCGGCTTTGCCTCGTTCGCTGCGGTTGCTGTGGGCGCGCGCAGCCAGGCCGCGGACGCGCGCGCAGGCGCGCCGCGGGGATCGCGCGCGAGGGCAGATCTCGGCGCGCCCCGGCGCTCGGCGCGCTGCAGGTGGATATTTGTTTGTTTCGCGCCGCTCTCGCGTCGGCGCGCTCGCCCGCGCCGTGGGCCCGTCGGCCTAGTCTGCCTCTTGCCCTTCCCGTGCCCTGTTCGTTCTTCTGTTTTTCGTGCTGTCCTTGCTGCTTTTCCCTGCTGCTCCTGCTCTCCTGCTCCTGCGCTGCCCATGTGCACCGAACGGGCGCCATTCCGCGGCCCAAGGACAAGACGCCAGCTTCGCAAGGCCAGACTGGCAGACGCAGCCACTCGCTGGTGTCCCACCATCTAGGTTTGCCCAATTGTGCTTCTGCCAGCGTGCCGTTATCATGTTTCAGAGTTGTCCGATGTCGTATATAAACCAACCAACCAGCAACGCTGTGTGTGCCCAGCGCTCACGAATGAGCGCGCGCGACCATATACGCAATCCCAATCAAGCGCGCGCCCTGATCGATCCCGAACAGAGACATGTTATCATGCAACACATCCTCAGACATGCCCACAGCAGTTTCCGACCCCTTATTTGGTGTTGGGTCCTAGTTTCAAATCCGCAGCGCCCCGCGTCTCATCTCCTCGCCTCCCCCCCTCCTCTTGTCTTGGCCCTTCGTGCTCCCAGTTCCACCTCCGTGCTCCCGTCACGCGATTCGTGGCCACATAGGGAGCTCCGCACACGGCCCCAGTAGGCTAGGTCACATGCGGTGTCCCCGCCCATTCGGCAAACGCCTCACACGTTTCGAGGCCCCATATGAAGTTCCACCGCAAACCCCGGAGGGGCAAAGCCACATGCGGTCCCCCGCCCTTTCGGGCGCACCCCTCAAACGCTTCGTGGCCTCACAGGGAGCTCCACCGACGGCCCCAGTGGGCTGGGTCACGTGCGGTCCACCCACCCCTTTCGGCACGCGCCTCGCACGTTTCGAGGCCCCAAAGGAGCTCCCCCGAAGGCCCCAATGGGCAAGGCCACGTGCGGTCCCCCCGCCCCTCCCAGCGCACCACTCACACGTTTCGTGGCCTCATGCGGAACCCCACCGTTGGCCCTGGTACATCCACATGGGCCCCCCGCAATTTCCGGCACACTCTTCACACGTTTCGTGGCTCTGCAGGGAGCTTCCCCGAAGGTTTCCGTGGCCGGGTATCGCATGCGGTCCCCTGGCGAATTTCGGCACACCACTCCCGCGTCCCGCAGGAAATTCATCGAATTTTGCGTTTCGCGCCCCTGTATTGCATATGAGGATGTGGCCATATCCTGCGCTACTGGCAGATTTGTTGGTTGGGATTTTCGCAACATTTTTTCTTGATGTGTTGATGCAGTGTTAGTGCCAGATCGATAAGCAGTACCAAAGCGCCAGCATTGGCGCTGCAGCGCGGCTCGCGCGAAAGACTGCAGCGTCGGCAGGTCAATCTCAGCAAGTCCCAGCACACATGCTTTCAGCCTCGTCCTCCGCATCCTTGTCGCCGTCGTCGTCGTTGTCGTCGTCGTCTTCGTCGTCGTCCCACTCCTCGTTTCTCGGGGCACTCTCCTCGGCTCATGAGTTCCCGAGCCCATCTTGCCGGCGCGCACACGGGGGTGGGGGGAGGGGGGAGGGCTTCTTAGAAGCACCCCTGCTTCTTAGAAGACGCGGGCCTTCTGTATAGATGTAAGGCCGGCGCCTTCTAAGAAGCGGGGGTGTTTCTAAGAAGCCCTCCCCCCTCCCCCCACCCCCTTGCGCGCGCCGCCAACCATCTCAGTACCTGTTGGCGCTCGGCCCGCCCTGCCCACGTGCCCGGGGTCGACGCGGGGAGGTCCTTCGGAGGCCTCTTGGGCCCTCTCCCGGGGGCCTCTCGGGCGCCTCTCGGTGTCCTTCTTCAGGCCTCGGGGGGGCCTGACGACGACGACGACGACTCACAGACAGACGGGCGGTGCGCAGACTCCCGCCCCTCAGGCCTCTGGGGGGCCTCATCCGCCGAGCGCGCGGTGCAGCTCGCAGGTGGGAGCAGGCGGTCCAGGCATGGGCGTGCTGAAGTCATCCGCTTCCGTGCACAGATTCCCCGCGCCGTGGCCGGCGCGAGGCTTCTGGACCCGACTGGGGGGCCTCTCGAAGGGATACTTTTGTCCTCTTGGCTCGTGCTGTTTGGGCGTCTTGAGTCTTGTGCGCCTCCTCCGGGCATCCTGGTGGTCTCGGGTGCTATCCTGTTGGGGAAACCTGGGGGCCTGCGACTTCTCCGTTTGGGGCTCCTCCTGGGTGTGGTCCGGGAACCTCTTTCGGGGATAGCCAGGACCCCGGGTAAGGGGACCTGGTCAGTAGTAGGGCCCCGGAGCCCTTACATTGAACAGAATCACTAAACCAGGTCTCCCGTAGCTGGTGTTTTTTTGGGAGACGGCAGTTCCGGTTAGTGGAACGGGGCGGGGGTGGTGTCCCCCGTACACACCATGAAACCGCGTCCCACTGAACCCAGTTCTGCCAACGCCCGACTCTTCCCGCCAAGGCTTGGGCCGCAGCCGAACCCTTGCCCCGCCGCCCCTTTTGCCTCCTGCCCGCCACGAGGCGCAGAGTGGCGTACGCGGAGGGGGACCAGCTGCGCATCGCGTGGCTCGCTGGAGACGAGATGCCCGAGGCCCGACTCTCAGAGGAGGAAAATGTACTGTACATGGCTACCCTTCGCTCGTGTTTTTGTTCCGCCGCCTGGGAGGCCCTCGTCGCCACCGCTGCATTCGCTTCGAAGTCCCGATCAGAACGCGCCCGTATCAGGAGGGGAAAAGACACGGACACAATTCATCGTCGACTCCCAGGAAAAGATGAGAACATGTGGGAAGTGGGGGAGAAGAAGAGCACTCAGAAAATATGGAAAAGTACGGGGAATCCTGGGATCTGTGCCTGTTTATTTGTGTGCCCCAGGGCCCTTTTAGAGCAGCGATATCGATGCCATCTCTTGGGGGGACGGCCCGTAGAGCCTCCTCGAGTTCGCCCTCTGACGCCCTTCTTGCGGCCCTCTGTGGGCACTCCTTCTCCGATTTCTCGTCCCCTCTCTCTCCTCCTTCTCCTCCTCCTCCTCCTCCTCCTCCTCCTCCTCTTCCTTCTCCTCCTCCTCCTCCTCCTCCTCCTCATCCCCCCTCCCTTTTGTGCAAGAGCCATGGCAGGCGTGCCACCAGTTCTTGCGTCCCAGGGCGCCTTTTAAAGCCGCGTTGTCGATGCCTCTTGGTTCCCGCGGACCCCGCCCGCCCCGGCCAGCCGTGGCCAGCCCGGCTCAGGCTGGCCGAGCGAGCTCTTCGGTCTTCCGCCCGGCGTTGGGGGCCCGTGGCAGGGCTCATTTCCACTCCTACGATTCAATTCGATTCGATTTTGATGGCTTCCGATTCCGACCCGATTCGACTTGGGGTTCCGATGTGGGTTCCGATGTCTTATTGGAGGCATACTGGCCTGCCGATTTCCGCCGATGCGGCTTCTCCCGACCCGGCTGCCAATCTCCGCCGATCCGACTCATCGATGCGATTCTGGGCTTTCCCGCCGTGGCCCTGCGGCGTCGCTCCGCATGGTGTGTGTGTGTGTGGAAATCCGAGGGTGAGCAGGCCCGCGAGTTTGTCCCAACCATTCGGGGGTGGACAGACCTCCTACCCTGACACGTCGATTAAGGAATTGGCCGTTTTCGGTTCGCCAGAGGGCGTCGCGGCCGTTATTTTTGCGGGTCCAGGTCCGTCGGTTTCGGCCCCAGGCCGTTTTCGCTAAAGGGAGGTTTACTAAAGGGAGGTTTGTCCACCGCCGAACCATCCTGGGGAAGTTGCGTCCTCCTTTGAATCGGTTGCGCCGCGTGTCTCCTCCCTGCCTCTTCCTCACCCTGCACGTGCTCCCCTCCCATCCCTGTCTATGCCCTTACGCGTGCCCATTTCGGTACACCCCTCAGACGCTTCAAGGGCCCCATCGGGAGCTCCAGCGTAGGCGCAGTGGCAGGGTTCGCATGCAGCTGCCCCGCCTATTTCGGTACACCCCTTACGCGTTTCGTCGCCCCACTTGGAGCTCCACCTTATACCACAGAGACTAGGTCCGCATGTAGTTTCCCCGCCCATTTCAGCACACCCCAGGTCACACCCCCTCACACGCTTCGTGGCCCCAAAGGGGGTTCCACCTGAGGTTCCGGGGACAGGGTTCGCATGCAGCCCCCCACCCATTATCGCACACCCCGTGGCTCCACGGGGAGCTTCGCCGACGGCCCCGAAGACAGGGTTCGCATGCGATCCCCCTCCCTTTCGACACGCCCCGCAACCGCTTCGGGGTCCCATCACGAGCTCCACCTACGGCTTGGCAGACGGCCTCCCCTGGTTGGCCACCCACGTCCTATCTTCCTGTGGCATTCTTTCATGCGGTCCCGTGAGGCGGGTCAACGTGCAGGTCTCCTATATAGTGTGTATTAGGGTAGTGCGTAGTGCTCCTTGTCAGACATACGTTCGCTTGGGATGAGCCCATTGATATAGGCAATGTACTTGGATGTGCTGTATTCGCCACCGGGTAAGTTGTCCTCTTATTCCTCCTCTTCTGTGTGATCCTCCTCCTCCTCATCATCCCCCTTCCTCCTTCTTTCTCCTCTTTTCCTCCTCCCTGCCCTGGTCGTCGCATCGCATCCTTTCATCGCCCGAGAGGTGCTGGTGCGGGAGATCCACAAGGACCCCAGGGCCAGAAACGGTTGACGCACATAAGGAAGGAACAAAGAAGCAAGGGAGGGAGGTGGGGTGGGCAGGGAAAGGAGGGATGGCAAGGGATGGGGAGGGAGGAGATGCATGAGGAGGGACGGGGCGGGGGAGCGGGGTAAAGGGAGGGACGGGGTGAGGGGTGAGGGGTGAGGGGTGAGGGGGAGGGAGTGGGGAGTGATGGGACGGAGGAGCTCCTTGTTCAGCCTTGTATGGGCGTCGTTCCAAGTTCCCTCATACATCAACATCGGTATGACTTCTTAACTGCGGCGACAGCCTACTAGATATGCGCGGCTGCCACTGGCTTGCCATAAGCACAGGGCCTGGGAATGTGGCCATGCTAGATGCGTGTGCGAATATCAGGAAGTGGCAGGGTCGGACTGGTGAGAACCCTATCGGTTGCACAGTTGGCCGTGAGCGCATACATGTTAGAAGTCGTGATGGCATATGTGTAGTGTCGAAACGAGAGCACGACTTCGACGAGGAGTTGCCTTCCATCCATGCATATTTTTGACATTGAGCACATCGACACCTCAAGCGATAGCACGATTTCGACATGTATCTCGTGTCCACCAGCTTGACGAATGGGTTCTTTAGCTGTCATCTGAAAACATGTGGGGAAGCTCAGGCACGAGTTTCACGGTGAGAAGCATCCGCCGTCCATTCGTGTAGTTGTTGGAAGTTCCCGCGCTTTCGTATCATACACTTCGGGATTGTCTCCAACCAGGGACATACATTACGTTGTGTAAACGCATGTCGCATAGCAGCCGTGAGTGCATCCAAGGTATGCAGCGCGAGCCTTGTCAATGGAGCGTTCCGAAGCCTTCCCGGCTGAGAAAGGTAACTTGGTTCTTGGCCACCATCTCAACACATTTGACCGACGAGCAGCATTCACCCATACCCATGGGAGGGTCGGAGGAAAGAGGGCTGGCCATTGGTGTGGGTGCTGGTTGTCAGGCCCTGTGGGAGGCTCCCGTTCGAGCGGGGACCCCCGTCCGACAGCACGCACCCATAGCCCCCTCCATCCCACCTATGGGTATGGGTGCGTGCAGTTCGTCCGTCATTGCAGTGGAGACCCATGCCAAGAAAAGCCCTGCTTGCCTCCTCCGTAGCCATTTTGGCTCAAGTGCCGTGCTCGAGCAGCTCATGACCCGCAGGGGGGCAGCGGGAGCCGCGGGCCGCTGCGCGCCGCGCCTTCCGGGAGGGCCCCCCGGCGGCGCCGCGTCCTCTGGAGGCTCGCGGCAGCGGCTGCGCGGGGGTCATGGCCGAGGCGCAGCAGCAGCAGTTGGACGGGGGCGAGGCGGCCCAGGAGCAGAGCGCGCCTGGCGCGGCCCCGCAGGTGCAGCAGCAGCAGCTGCAGTTGGACGGGGGCGAGGCGGCCCAGGAGCAGAACGCGCCCAGTGCGGCCCCACAGGCGCAGCAGCAGTTGGACGGGGGCGAGGCGGCCCGGGAACAGGGCACAGCTGGTGCGGCCCCACAGGCCGCGCCGCAGGCGGGCGCTCCTGCCGCGGGACCGCCCCGGGAGGCCTCGCAGGAGGCCCCGGTGCTGGCGGCGCCCGGCCCGGCTGCGGAGGCCGCCCCCGGCGCCTTCCGGGAGGGCCCCCCGGCGGCGCCGCGTCCTCTGGAGGCTCGCGGCAGCGGCTGCGCGGGGGTCATGGCCGAGGCGCAGCAGCAGCAGTTGGACGGGGGCGAGGCGGCCCAGGTGCAGAGCGCGCCTGGTGCGGCCCCACAGGTGCAGCAGCAGCAGCTGCAGTTGGACGGGGGCGAGGCGGCCCAGGAGCAGAACGCGCCTAGTGCGGCCCCACAGGCGCAGCAGCAGCAGTTGGACGGGGGCGAGGCGGCCCTGGAGCAGAACGCGCCTAGTGCGGCCCCACAGGCGCAGCAGCAGCAGTTGGACGGGGGCGAGGCGGCCTGGGAACAGGGCACAGCTGGTGCGGCCCCACAGGCCGTGCCGCAGGCGGGCGCTCCTGCCGGGGACGCCGCGGGACCGCCCCGGGAGGCCTCGCAGGAGGCCCCGGTGCTGGCGGCGCCCGGCCCGGCTGCGGAGGCCGCCCCCGGCGCCTTCCGGGAGGGCCCCCCGGCGGCGCCGCGTCCTCTGGAGGCTCGCGGCAGCGGCTGCGCGGGGGTCATGGCCGAGGCGCAGCAGCAGCAGTTGGACGGGGGCGAGGCGGCCCAGGAGCAGAGCGCGCCTGGCGCGGCCCCGCAGGTGCAGCAGCAGCAGCTGCAGTTGGACGGGGGCGAGGCGGCCCAGGAGCAGAACGCGCCCAGTGCGGCCCCACAGGCGCAGCAGCAGTTGGACGGGGGCGAGGCGGCCCGGGAACAGGGCACAGCTGGTGCGGCCCCACAGGCCGCGCCGCAGGCGGGCGCTCCTGCCGCGGGACCGCCCCGGGAGGCCTCGCAGGAGGCCCCGGTGCTGGCGGCGCCCTGCCCGGCTGCGGAGGCCGCCCCCAGCGCCGCGCGGGGCCCGCCGCTCGTGGCGGGGCTGCTGAAGCCAGGGGGTGCCGCCAGCCTGAGGCCAGAGGTGGCCGAGCTCGTGGCGAAGCGCGGGGTCAGCTTCCACGGCGAGCAGATGGAGCTCGTGGTGGCCTCCCCGGCGGGCAGGCAGGGGGCCTCGGCGGAGCAACCCGCGACCGAGCTGGATCGGTTTGCGGCCGAGCTCGACGGCAGCCTCTCCGAGAGAAGGGTGCACAGCTGCACTTGGCTATGGCCGTTGCACGACAGGGCTGCCGTCGACGAGTTCAGGAGAGCAGCTTCCTCACACCTGGTCGAGGACGATGCCGATGTCAAGTTTCCTATCGCGCTGAGTGCGATGGCGAAGCTCTTCATCCTCATGCCTGGGGATGACAGCCTCATTGTGAAGATCGTGCGAAACACGTATGGCAACAGAACTGCCTATGCCATATTTTGGGGCGAGGTCTATGTACAGCAGCTGTGGCTTTTGGCCATTCTCGCTGCTGTGGCATTGTCTTTACACACCGTATCAATCTCTCTCGCTGGTGAGGTGATGAATTATGGCACGCTCTTGTGGATCGGCTGGCTCCTCTGGCGCATTTGGTCGCACACCACGGTGATAGGACTCCGAGGCCCCGTCGACGCTTCAGGCGCTGCCCGCGTGCACGACCATCGGTTCGACCCAGACAGACTTTACGATCGTCTGACCTGGTTGAACGCCGTGGGTGTTGCCCTCCTGATTATGACGTTCATTTGCCTGAACGTCTTTGTGGTGTTCTGCTACCTTCAGCTCTTGGTCTGGCTGTGGTACGACTGGGGTGACTGCATCACGCTAGGTTGCGATAGCCCCGACGAGAAGCATGGCTTCATAGGTGTTGTAGTCGGGATTTTGTTGGATGTTGGCTTTGGTCTGGTGATTGTGATGATACGCGCCTTGGCAAATCTGTTTGGAAGCTGGGCCGCCGCGTGTCACAACGTAGAGTTCGCGATCGACCGAAGGATCATCGCAAAGGTGTACACAATGCTGATGGAGGCCGTGGACACGATCCTGGCCCTTTTGCTCTTCGGCCTGTTGTTCGTCACTCCGTGGTCTGGCTCGGTCCAGCACGACCTTCCCGAGGCCGACTGCTCCGACGTGATGCTCTACGGCCTGGTTGGGAGGAGCTCGTTCTTCTGCCTGGCCCGCCGGGTCAGCGACGACAATCGCCGCTCGGTCTACAGGCGGATGATGAGGGGCCCGCTGATGATGCTCCCCTTCATCAGGCTCCTCTTGAAGTGTGTGATCCCCATGGTCGCTCTCCTCCTGAACAAGTACGAGGTGCCCCCGCGCGGCCCCTGCAGGTGTCCCAGCGACGCCATTAACGCGCTGATCCGCCTGATGGGGCTCATCTTCGCGCTCGACAGCGATAGCGTCGGCGGGTTCCGCTTCGTGTTCTCTGGGGACCCGTTCTCCAGCTCACGGAAGGCGGCCGAAGCCCCGCCGCCGGCGAGCGCCGACTTGGACGGACAGGACGCGGCGCTTGCGGATGGCGCCGAAGGCACCGAGCAGCTTCTGGACGACGCCCTGGAGGAGATGAAGTTGAAGGAGTTCGAGGTGGATGAAGAGATGAACGAGGTGAAGCTCAGCCTGCTGTTCCTCGTCATGTTCGGCCCGATCGCGCCCGAAGGCGTCTTCACCACGCTGCTCGCCCAGATGATGGAGTCCTGGTGCGACCTGTCGAAGCTCCTCTTTCTGAAGCGGCGGCCATTTCCGGACCAGGGCATGAGCGTCGCTGCCATGCATTTCCGGATGAGGACCTTCATCGTGGTTACGATCTTTGCCAAAGTGGTTTGGTCCTTTGTATTGTCTTTCGTCGTGTTCGCCTAGCCCGGCTGGTTTTGAGAGGTCAGGGCTTGATGTTCATCTCCGAACCATGTGGTGTGCAAGCAGCAAAGTGCACGCTGATGTTTGGAAGTGTTGGGGATGGCCGAACGAGGCACACCCTGCCTCCCTCTCCTCTATCCTGCCTCTCTTCCTTCACCCCTTCGCATCCTACCCCCTGACTACTCCCCCTCCCTTCGCTTCCCTCGTCACCCCGTGCTGAATTGCTGCTGCTGCTGAACCTTCGGACGCCGTTGATGGAAAGTCTACCAGTGGCCGATCTCCGAGGCACACATGCCCGTGAACGTCTCCGCGCTGATGCTCCGTCGCAGCGGTACTGAAGATGTGCCGCTGGTGCCGTTTTTTGAAGGGGGACGGAGCGCCAAGGTGCACCTTCCGACAGGCCTCGTGAGTTCCAGCGTGCTCAGCAGGTTGGTGCTTCGCCTCATCGGAGACAAACATGTGCGCGTGCGCGCTTTTGTTGTCAGCGTCGCTCTCTCCACCGCTTCCTCTGGCATTCCTCGTTTCTTCTGCGCGTTCTCCGCCAGCTGGCGTGGCAGCGCGTGCATTTTTCCCCAAACAGCTTGCTGAACAGTGTGCTGTTGTGATAGAAGCTAACTCTCTCTCATTCAAGTGCAGTGTGGGATATGTATTACTGGGGTATTTAATTGTATGGCACTTCGGCCCGGGGTAGCAGCGCCTTTCACGCAGCAGTATCCAGCGAGCTGCAGCCCAAGGTAGCAGCTCATGTACATTGCTGGCCGCTGCATCCCCGGCACTTTCTGCTCAGAGCAAGCGAGAGAAGATGCCCGCGGCAGAGCTATCATAGAGAAACAACAAAAAAAGCCCTGCTTGCCTCCAGGGTGCCCAGGGTTTCTTGGGTTTCGGTGGATTTGCTGTGGAAGGCGCGATGCTTCCGCACCACGAATCAATTGATTTCCTGGGGTCTCAGGCTTTGGTTTCTTGTGGAAGGTTTCTTTTGGATCGGCCCCCACTGTAATGGCATGTTTCGTACATCGTAATGTTTGAAGGCAGTTTCTGGATATAGCCATGCATCCGTGAGGGCTCTCCCTCTGCCGCTGCCCCCCTCCCTATCGCGATGGGAGAGGTCGGAGCTACACGCCGGTCGTTGAAGGTTTTTTTTGGATTCCCAGATCCCAATCTTTTCCAAGTGCCTCCCTACCTCAATAATCGATATTATTTGGCCGTGTTTTGTTCTTTTCTGGGGGTGCCTGAGCCTAATACTTTGTATCCGCCTTCCTACTCAATGCTTTTAACTGCTTCTTCCGACTGACGTGTATGCTGGGACGTGTCGGCGCGGTTTTGAACATTTCTGGGGACATCATGTGAGGTCGATTGGCATTCAGCAGGCACCTAGAGATGTCGGAGTTGTTGCTGTTGAGCGCTCTGTTTCCTTCTCAGAGGGCGAATCGGATGTAATGCTCGGGAATCGTGAAGCGCGAGTCTGGCGTATTTTGCGAGGGAATCTGGCCTCGGGATTCTGGCCTCGGGGGCGCGAATCTGGGGTCATTTTCATTGGTTTCTGGCTTCGGGAGCACGAATCTGGCGCAATGTACATGGGATTCTGGTTTCGGGAGGGCGAATCTGTTGTGATCTGCAAACGGGATTCTGGCCTCGGGGGCGCGACTTCAGCGTATTTTACAATGGCTTTGGGCCTTGGGAGCGTGAATTTGGCTCAATTTACGATGGATTCTGGTGCAGGAGCGTGAATCTTGTGAAATTTGCAAAATGGATTCTGGCAACGGGAGCGCGAACATGCCGTAATTTACAAAGGGGTTCTGGCCCCAGGAGCGCGAACAAAGTATTTTCGAAGGGATCTGGCCTCGGGGACACGAACCTGGTGTAATTTAGGAGGGATTCAGCGGGAGCGCGATTCTGGTGCAATTTTCAAGGAAGATGGCACTGGGGACGCGAGTCTCATATATTTTGGTTGTCCCAGGGCCCTCCCGTGGGATTCTGATATGCCCGGGAGGCCTTGATATTCAAGGCGGTTTTCGGTTCCCCCCTGGCGCAGATGAGTACGCCATAAAACCTGAAGCTGGAAACCGGAAACCGCATTGGAATTGTGACTGAAGTCGAGGAGATCAGGACTGGCCTATGTTGCTGAAGACCGACCTCAGCTTGGTGGCCTTGCGAGGAGGCCGGCGGTTTGACAACCACCCGCCATTCATACGTGTACATGCCAGTCGTTAAATATAGGTAATATTTTTTTGGATTCCCACATCAATCTGTTTCAAGCGCCTTCCTGCTTCAAGAGCCGATATGCTTTTGCTGTGTTTTGTTATTCTCTGGGAGGGCCTGAGCCCAATATACTTCCTGTGTTATGCTTTTGCCTACTTCCGACCGACGTGTGCGTGTAAGTGTTGGAGGTCTCTCTTGCGATTTGCCTGCCCAGGCTGTCAGGATTGCTAAGCCCTCGGATTCTAAGGTGCGAGCGGTTCTCAAGCGAACCACCCGGATCGCCGTACCGACACGTCTGGTGGCGTGAAGCAGAAGTTGCTGCTTACAAGGAAGAGTCGGGGAAACGTAAGACTCGAGTGCGCTGGAACTCTGGTTTGCCGCGTCCTGGATCCTGGATTATGACGGTCCAATTTTCGTGGGATGTTTGCAGCGAGAGTTCGCGTCGAATTTCCGACTGGGCCATCGTCATTCTCATGATAGCCTTGTCAGGCCAAACCGAGTCCCCCGAACCCGACTCTATTGTCTCCCCGGAAGAGGGGACGAGGATGGCCAGGCGCCCGACAGATAGGAGGCACCACCTCAGGCGAAGGTCCCCTGGGGGGTGTCGGCTGGGACGGGACCCCCTGTCTGGCCGAGTCGATTGATGAAAGTAGGTTTCTTCAAGCTCTTCCATTCCTCCCCCTCCCCCCCCCTTCCCAAAGCCATCCTGTCCCTCCTCAGTCGCCTCCTGATGTTCCTCCTCCACCAGTCCCGGAAAGGGAAGAGAGAGGATTCATTCGATTCGTAGCTGCCCATGGCTCCCCGAGGACGATCCCGCGTACAAGTTGGGCGTGCGCATAGGCTGCGTAAGCGAAACGAATGCCTGCTGTCTGCTCTCCAGCGGACGTGTCGTGGAAGGATATCGAAGACTGGGCACCCAGATGAGGGCAGGATGAGGAGCAGCAGCAGCAGCAGCAGCAGCAGCAGCAGCAGCAGCAGGAGGAGGAGGAGGAGGAGGAGGAGGAGGAGGAGGAGGAGGAGGAGGTGTGTTAATTGGAGTAGAGGAGGGGAGGAGGATGAGGAGGAGGAGGAGGAGGAGGATGAGGAGGTGGAGGAGAAGGAGGAGGAGGAGGAGGAGGATAGGGATGAAGGAAGTTGACAGCGGAGGAGAAAGAAGAGCAGGCGGGGGTGCAGTGTGTTGCAGAGCTCCAGATTTTCCGATGATAGGTTCAGCGCATGTTGCCAACAGAGTTTGTGAACCGTGCCCTGTGGCTCAAGGCAAAAACGTTTGCTTGTCTCCGTCTGCCACAGTTGGTAGCGGAGCGCGGTCCTCGGGCGGGGCGCCATGGGCAGGCAGGGGCGCGCTCAGTGAGAGCGTGCTCTGCCAGCTCGCGTGCGCTCGCCCAGCGGCTGCGCTCGCATCCAGCAAGCAGCGTGTGATCCACGGCGAGCGGGATGCCTGATGACGGGAAGGATGTAGAGGTGTTTGCAGTCAGGCAAGAGCCGCCAGCAGGAGCCGCCCCAGGAGGCGGTCAGCAGCTGGCACCAGCCACCAGCATGGGGGCCGACGAGCTCAGGCTGATGATCAGGGGCATAGTTTCGGAAACTATGGGATCTGGAGCTCGACGGCAAGAAGCGACAGCAGATCGAGACCCTTGGAAGGACCCCACCAGAGATCCTTGGGCTAAAGAGAGCGCTCCCACCGGAGGAACAGGCACCGACGGAGACGACAAGGACAAGAGCTGGTGGGACAACAAGGACGGCCGCTGGGACAAGGGCAGCTGGAGCAACACTGGGCGAGATGCTTGGGGCTCTGGCGCCTGGGACAGCTGGAAGGACACGTGGAGTGGGCCCGGCAGCTGGGGCGGCGGGAGAGGAGACTTCAGCGACCCCCCCACCTGGCCGGGCTGGACCAAATATTGGCAGTGGAGGATTGCGATGAGAAGATGGAACAAAAATGCTGACGTCCAGCTTTGGCGTCGAGCCGAGAAGTTCATGAAGCTCTTCGACTACAACTTCCAGGCGAAGTTCGAGGACGTGAGCGAGGACACCCTCGTGTCCCCCGAGTGGCTCGATGTGCTCATAGGCAGGATGGACATGATGGCGGGAGAGCGTGAGGGAGACCAGCTCCGTCGAGCTGGACGTCGCGCCTTCTTCGAGGCCGCGAGGGAATCAAAAGAGTCCCTCACGCAGTTCGTTGCCCGACGTGAGGCTCAGCTCCAGGACGCAGAAGGACACGACCTATGGATGAGCCCGAAGCTCACAGGACTACTGCTGGAGGAGGGCGCAGGCTTGGGCGCCCAAGGTATGCAGAATTTACGCACGCTCACGCATGGCAGGCTCGACTTCGCCGACGTCGCGTGGGCTCTCCGGCAGATGGACGCCACCGGGATGGAGCGCCTCCTCCCCGGGCGACCCGGCCCAGGGGCCATGCTGGCGACGAGCTCTGAGGACCGAGGTCCCGCGGGCGACCCGAATCTCGCTTTTCAGTCCTCACCTCCTCCCTCCTCCCCTGGTCGGTTCGAGGTCGGTGGTGGTGCCAACGGAGATCCAGACGAGGCCAACTACTACGACGGCTCGACCGAGGGAGACGACGACTCGTACGACTCGGAGGATGACATCGTCGCGTTGCTCGCCGAGATCGAGGACCTGGACGTGCAGGTGGACAACGACGACGAGATCTGGGCCTTCCTTGAGAAGAAGCCCAACAACACCCGCACCTGGAAGCATAATAAGGACAGCAATCGGGCTGCCCGCAAGGACAGGGGGTACTACGGCATGAAGAAGTCGGATGGACGAGGGCCTCCTCCTCCTCCCGCGGCTCGAGCCGGCCGCCCGAGGGATGCCGCCGGTCGACGGGGTCGCGGCGGCCGAGGTCGAGAGTCTCATCCCAATCATCGAGGCCGGCTTTCACGGGAGCAGCTCATGAAGGTGACCCGATGCAAGAGATGCAACGAGAAGGGACACTGGGGCAAGGAGCGCCCCAAGTGCGGAGACCACGTGCCGGGGGCCGCGAATCCCAGCCGCCCCAACAGTGGCGGGAAGTCGGACCGGCAGAAGGTGTCGGCCTACATGTTCGACGGCTTCGTGGGTTCGAGCTCTCCAGGCGGCTCCTCGGGCATCTTTGTCTCGGATGCGATCGAGGCCTCCTGGGACGAGGCAGACGACGAGATCACCAAGGGCAGCGTCTTCATCACGGCCGGGGCCACACAGGCTCTGGTGGATCCCGGAGCGGGCAGCGACCTGGTCGGAGTGCAGTCGTTGAACCGAGAATCCCAGGCGCTGGCCAGCCTGGGTCTCCAGTGCGTCGAGATCCCCCAGTCGCGCAGGCCTCTCAAGGCGGCGCGCGGCGTTGGCGGGGCGGCCAAAGTGATCAGCGTCATTCTTTTTCCTCTCTGCCTGGGAGGCGCCCTGGGCGTGATAGAGACGACAGTCCTAGCGGACAACGTGCCGCATATTCTGAGCGTCAATCTTTTGGAGTATCTAGGCTCGGTGATAGACCTGCCGAGAAACGAATTGATTTTGCATGCGCTAGGCGAGACCGAGAAGCTGACTCGCCTAGGATCCGGGCACAGGCTCGTCGACATCATTCGTCCTTTCAAGGAAGAGGTGAGTGTCACGCCTCCAGCTCTGAAGAGGTGCCCGTTCCTGAGGGCCGACTCGTTTCAGCTAGTCGACCAAGCCCCACAGCTCATGTCAGACGAAGGGGTGAGTTCGAGGTACATGGTCCTTCTCATCTCTCTCATCTTCATCATCAGTGGGGGACTGCTGTGGGCTGGTTATCACTGGGGGTATCTCGGGGAGTTCGGGAACCAGGTCCGGGCCAGGTTCGAGGTCCTTCGGAACAAGATTATCGGCGTCCTCTGGCCACGGGCTAAGCTAGCAGCCTCCGAGACAGTCCGGGCCTCGGGATCCCCGCGAGAAGCTAAGGTGAGGCCGAAGGCGACGAGGAGACCTACGAGTCGGAGAGTGAGTTGGGTCCTCGTTTTCAGACTCAGCCTCGCCATCTCTGTCTCCGTAGTCGTTTCAGGCTTACATCTTTCCAGCCTTTCAGAACTTTCGCGACATCCAGGCCGACTCCGGCCCTCCCAGAGCGATCTCAGTCACGCGGACGGTGACGATTGCCCTGATGGCAGTCACAACGATGCGACTGGTCCGAGCGGGTAAGAAGAAGGGAGACACTCCAGCGAAGAGGGCTACCGAGGAGTTTCTCGCTCGCAGCCGGTCCGCCGAGTCCGAGGTGAGCCTGGAGTCTTCGGTCGGCTCAGAGGCGACGGAGATGCCGGGCACGTTCGTCGGCGCCGCGTCGGCAGGGCAGACGCCGAGCCTACCGATGGACCAGCAACAGGACTCCACGGGACCGAGCCCCGGGGAGGAGGGCCCCACGTCAAGCGGGGCCATGCCAGGGCCCCCGCCGCCAGCCCAGCCCATCATGTGGGCGGCAGCGGCTCACGCCTCTGGATGGACGGGGCCAGCGGGAAGCATGAGCAGTCCTCAGCCTCAAGCGCAGGGAGTTCCCCGGTCGTCGCTGACGGGCATCAGCGACATGACGGAGAGCGGCACCCAGCCATCAGCATCGTCCAACCCAGCCAGCATGCCTCCAGCACCTCCTCAGCTAGTGTTTGCGCCAGTGGGGCCTGGCCTGACTCCCCCGATGACGCCGGTCCCTCCCGGGCCCGCCGCGGACGGAGGCGGCGCGCCCCAGGGGGCGCTCATCGGCCCCGCGGCAAGCAAGCCTCCACCAAGGCCTCCACCCTCATGCAGCCACCCGATCGAGAGCGTGCGGTACTACGGGAACCGCCATGGGAGTGGCTCCAGGTGTGGGCTATGTGGGCAGCGGCTGGTGTGGGTGCCGCGGGGCGCCCGGACAGACGGAGGACCTCCGCCGCTCACGGCGACAGAGGCCGCTCGAGCAGCAGCAGGGTCAGCTCAGCGGGTGGTGGACATGCTTCAAAGCGATCCTCAATTTCGAGCAGGGACCGCCGCTCTCAATACGGTCAACTCTCTGGGCTCACTACTTCAGGGGTTGCAGTGGCAGCTGCAAGGAATTCCCGAAGGAGTGCGCGCTCTCGGACGAGTGCAGGAGGTACTCGATCAGATGACGGCGGTCGCAATGAACGCGCAGTCCACCCCGACTCAGGTGGAAGAAGGACTCCAGCAAATATTCCAGCAGCTCCTCCAATTGAGGAGTATCATGTCGGCCTTCGAGGGGTTCGCTACGGTGATGGACGAAGTGCAGACCACCGTGAACGCGATGGCCGGCCAGATCAACACGATCGAGAACTCGGTCGCGCAGCTCGGACAGATGACCATGCAGATTGGCGCGGCGGTGAGTGGCCTGCACAACTACATGACCTACCAGTACCAGGCGGCACAGCAGGCGGAGCAGCAGCCTCCACAGGAATCGATGGAGGACGACCCCTGGCACGAGCCGAGCAGTGCCGGGAGCGGCAGCGGAGGACTACCGGGCCCTCCTGGAGCCACGACGGCGACTACGACTACGCCGAGCAGCCCGCCGCCAACTACGACGACTGCGGCGACGTCTCTGAGCCCGATCCCCGAGGGCAGCCCCCAGGCGGAGGCCCCGCCTGGATGGGAGGTGCTCCCGGAGATGCGAGGGCATCCGTAGTAGGCCGAGAGTCTTACGCCAGCGCGCGTCTCAGGCTCGGTCGAGCCGCATGCTTTGCCCAGTGCTGTGTAGCTTCTGGCCCCCCACGGGCACAAAAGAAAGGGTCCTCCCGGGGTTCAAGCCTCTTATCGTCCTCCTCTGGTCCTCCTTCTCTCTCTCTCTCTCTCTCTCTCTCTCTCTCTCTCTCTCTCTCTCTCTCTCTCTCTCTCTCTCTCCACCCAAGGCCCCGAGA